GATTTAATAATTATATAAATTATGAACATTATCATTGCGCTTCATAATTTTATTATGGCTTTACCTATTTCATCATAGCGTTGTGCTTAATAATTTCACCAGCAGATAACAAACACGTCTTCATAATACAATGCTGTATGTTTTCCAAAGGCACATCAATATTACGGTTTTACATAACAATAAAACCGATATTATGTGCCGAGAAGGAAAACATACAGCATTGCAGGAAGTTCTTCCTGGTGAAGACTATGAAGATCAAAGATGGCTGCGCTCCCTTTATACTTGCTGGCAGCACCTAGCGGCTAAAGATGGAACTAAATTGACTGTCTATGGTTGGACATAGACAAGGAATCTAAGCTAAGTACACACTGCTTCTTCATAATACAATGCTGTATGTTTTCCTTCTCGGCACATAATATCGGTTTTATTGTTATGTAAAACCGTAATATTACGTAAAGTTTCTTGGTATTATGTGAAATATGTTGTAACTATACTGAGACCTTAGAACTTATATCTCAAGGTGGGTGGCGTATTTACGTCATATAATCAATAAACAATATCCTTATTGCCTTCGGTACTTTTAACAACTAAATAAATAGGTTGGTTGAGATAGTTTAACATTATATTTAATTTTAGTCTATGCGGTTTTTGTCCGTCATCTTAATCAAGCTTGAATAAAACAAAATCGATTTTATTTGGATGAGAAAAATTTATTCCTACATTACCACAGTAATTGTTCAGTTAATTACGTTAAGTTTAATCATGTGAAAATCGTTTTATTTAAGATTCCAAAAAAAAAATTTTTTTTCGGTTTGTCATATTTATAATCTGGATATTTGATTGAATTTAATTAAAGATGTGCAAAAAATAGTGATGATTTGTAAATGTGAAATGTGTTATTAATATTCTTAGTGGGAGAAAACGTATCAGATTTTTGCGTTGTGAAGAATGGGTGTTAGTAGTCTGGTAACACTGAGTAGTGTGCAGGCTTAAAATGGTAAAATATCACTAATAATAAAAGTAGGATTGATATTGTAATGTTTAAAGTGTAAGTTGTTTTCTAATAATGAGCTATGCATGTGCAGTGTTGTAGTTTAGATACGATTCGGTACTATAGACCAGTGGCCCATAACCGCTGGATCGGGAGATTGGTGTGTCACAGGCATCCGTCATGTGTGTTGCCAGGTTTATAAATACGATATTTGTAGCTTTGGGGTACATATGGGATAAATATACAACTGTCTACTAGATGTTGACTACACATTAAAAGTGTTTAATTTGACGACCTATACCTTCAATTTGCAACTGTCAGAAACTTGCATGTATGTGTGTCGCGAATATGTGAAGAGTATGTTAGTGTATCGCCGAGTAAAAAAGGTTGAGTGCCGCTGATGTAGAGTGCAATGGAACAGTTTCCCTGTGCCGAAGCGGGAATAAAGAAACGATTTGTATGACGCCGTAATTGGGAAAAATGTGAGCCGTCCCGGGACGCCTGGCAGATGTGAAACATCGACATTATTTTGTAAAAGTAATATGCAGAAAAGAACAGATTGTGATAGGAATTAAATATGTCATAATGATAAAATAAAATATTACGAAAAAATAATTTGTTTTCAAGTAAAACACAAAACAAAACACAGGTACTGTAGTAAACAACACTGTATACACAACGGAGTATAGACTATAGGTATCCGAGCTCAGTGTAGCGAGAGAGATGGCTTAACGCCGGATCGAGTGGGAGAGAATCGCACAGTCGATTGCGCATGGCGTCGCCACACCGTACACACTACTGCATATAGACTGTATATATATACCATCACATAGCGTGGCGACGCGTCGCCACGGCATGCGTCGCCACGCCAGAAATCGGTTTTACGTGCGGCTATAGATGTTTCACATCAAAATATTGATTTACTAAATTGAAAAACATGTTTCACTATGTTGAATGTGTGAACCTTAAATCAAATGCGAGGACTACTGTTTCTTTCTTTCGAGGGCGGAGATTACGCGCGTTTTTTGTTTTACATGGCTGCTTTAAAAAATGTGGGTAAATTTTCCTTGGTCTATTTAGGTATGTGGAGATGTTTGAGTGTGCGGAACTTCATTAGGAAAGAGAGCAGTCGTATTTTTGTTATTAATACATATATATTGGATTTTTTTAACTGGGGTACTTCGGTAATAACTTTAGTCGTATGTAAATCGTGGAGCGTGATTATTTCGTATTTAGCAAACAACGCACAGTGGGTCGATACTGTGATTTTAGTGACTTAGGGACCAACTTTGTTTTTTTATAATTTTTTTTATGTAGATAGATAGAGCTCGTTAATCTCAATAATAATTGTTTTGGGCAAAAATTACAAAAACTTTATAGTTTGGTCAGAAAAATGTGTTTTGTGATTTTTTTGTATGGAGCGGGTCACATTAAATTAAATTCCTGCTAAGTACCGCGAGGTCCCGCTTTGAAACTTTATTTTCCTTATACCTTGTCTAGTCTACTATCATTTGATGCTATGAACATGTGCATAAAGTTGCAACTCTGCCAAATAAATGGATCGAAAAAAAATTATAAATACATAGAATAAAAACCTTTATATTTTTTTTCGTAAGTGCTTTTAAGTTAAATTTGATATGGATTAGTAAGTAAAAGCACGTAATGATACCCATAATTACATAATACCTAACAACAATACATTTAGTAGGTCTCTAATTA